CCCACCCACCCAACCACACTCACCCTTTCCTGGGCCCCAACCCCACTGCTCACCAGTCCAGATCCTTCATGAACCTAAATGTGTCACCCTCAACCTCCATCTCCCAGTCCTGAGCCTCAGACCTGGCCCCATCCCTGCGTTCTCTTCCCCACCTCCCCGTTCAGGGCTGGGGGAGCCACCAGGAGGCAGGCAGGCTCATTTGCATAAAATTGCCTTTCTGAAATGATTACCCTTGTAACGGGCTGTCAGAGAGCAATTTATACCCCACGCAGGGGAGGGGAATTTGCATCTCGTTAAACTCCAAGTCGTAATTATTTATATCCAACAACCCTCCTGAATATTGCATTGATTTTATTTGGGGGAGGAAGGCAGGGGAGGAGGTGGGGAGAAGTCTGAGAGAGAAGCAGGGAGGGGCCAGAGTTTGGGACGAGACAGGGAAAGATGGAAGGGGGAAGTGGAAGGAGAGGAATGGCATGGAGAGTGACAGAGACAGAGGAGTAATGGAGGAGAGAGGCGGCCTGATGGGGAGAAAAGGAATGAGAAGATAGATAAAATTAAATTCCAAATTCAAACAGCATTTGTCAAGGCCCGGGATGCTGGGCATTTTTACAAATGTCATTTTACTCCATCACTCTGAGAAGTCCCATTATTCCCATTAACCGCTGGGGAAGCCCGCAGAGAAGTCTAGGGACTTACCCGGGGTCACACAGCCGGTCAGCAGGGAACTGGGACTTAGACCCACATCTGTCTGATGCACATCTGTCTCCATGAAGGAGACAAAAGGCAGGGCAGCCACAGGTGTAGCTCAGGTGGAAACCAGAAGAGGAGGTGGGTGGCTTGGAGAGGGAGGAGGTTGGAAGGGTGTGGTGAGGAGTCAGAGAGCTATGTGGGAGGATGCTGGGTGTCTGAAGAAAGAGAGAAAGCTAGGGTCTCCCTAATAACATAGCGAGGGGGAGGGCAGGGTGGTTGAAGTGACGTGAGTGCAGGAGGGAGAAGGGGCTGGAAGCCTTCAGGAGCCGGTGGTAGTGTTTAGGGAGCCATCCCCAATAGACCCCCAAAGCCCAGCTCTCAGGTCCTTCCATCTGGCTCCTTCTGACGCTGCCCCACCCCCCAACCCTACAAACTCCAATAGGGACTCCAGTGCCCCTCCAAGGGCTGGCTCGTCTCAGGCGGGGCAGAGGCTGTGAGGCAGCCCCGGAAGCAGCCCCTCTCCCTCTCACTGCCTGGTTATATATAGCTTTGCCACTGCCTCTGCTCATTGGGTAATGGAGATAATTAACATGCGCGGGCTAATTAGCCAATCAAATTAAATGCAGCACCTGCTCCCAGTCTGATTGACGCCTTTACCCCCACACACATGTACCCCCACTCCAGTTCAGGGCAGGGGACGGGGACCCTCAGGCTCGGGGGAGGGAAAGGCCAAACTCCCCTTCTCCAGTGACCCCAGATGCACAGCCCCTGAGTGTCATGCTCCCTCCCTCCCCTGCTGGGGTCTTGTTCTCAGTCTGGCCTAGCCTCTCTCAGCCCCCGCCAGCTCCCACCTCCGGACACTATTTTGGGGAGGGAATTAATTAGCTATCGATTTCCGCTAGCAGAGGGAATAGGATTCCGTGCTGCTGTCCACTCACCCCTCAGCTCAGGAGAGGGAGGGGATTTTAGTTACCCTGCCCTCCTCCCAGCCCAGTCCCTCTGTTATACATCCCCACCTTCTGGGGAGAGGGCAGAGGGGTGCTTGCTGGAAGCCTGGGGGCAGGGTCTCTCCCACGGCCTGTGCACGCAGGCACCCACACGAGTTCCAGGAAGTTGGCCAGGGACAGACAGAGTGAAGGATGGTGGAGAGGCCTCCAGAGACTGGGAGGTGGGGGCCTGGGTCCTGAGAGCCAGAAAGAATGTTACCTGACCGGGGGAGAGAGGTGGGCAGCAAACGAGTGACTCCAGGAGGGGGTGACTCCACTAGACTCTGTGTGTGCCAAGATATGGAGGGACAGTGTGGGAAGGAAGGGGGTGCTGTGAGCCAGCTGTGGGAACAGAGGCAGAACTTACGGGTGCCTCCTGGGAGAGAGGCCAGGGTCTGGGCCTGCAGCCCCTCAAGGCTCATTACTCATTCTCCCCACAGCCCGCAGCTCTGCAGCACCGGCCAGCTGGGCTCAGTGCCAGGGCAGAGGGGCTGCAGGGCTGGCCAGGAGGAGGCCAGGCCCTCCTTGGGTCCTCTCTCCAGGGACCATGGGGCAGCTTTAGGCTTGCCAGGCAGACATTATCCAAAGAGGAATGTGAGCTAAGCGGACACCAGGGTCCTTCCCGCCTCACCCTACAGCTCCCGGCACACCTGCCGCTCTTCACCATTCTCCCCCCCACCCCCCGCCCTCCACCTCCACGCCCCAGGCCCAAGTTTCTGCTGACCCAGCCTACAGCCCACCCTTCCTCCCAGGACGCAGGGGGTTCCTGCTAATCTCTGATGCCCCATCCTCCAACTCCTAGTACATCCACGGCGCCTGGCCTCGGATCTTAATGGCCAGGGCCATTGCCTTGCACAACTATATCACGTCTCCTGGAGTCATGCAAGGCCCCTCGCCCAGGCTCATGCAATGCAGTGGAAGCCCCCTGCACCCACAGAGTTCAAGCACTGCTCCCCAAGACCCCCTCTTCTTCTCCAGTGCCCACTGCCAGCGCACGACACTGACTGGCCGGAGCAGCCTGGGGATACCCTGCCTGCTGACTGACGTCACGGCCCTGCACACTGCCAGCCCCTGCTGGCCAGGCCTGCCGCCCCCTGGGGAACTGACCTCTCATGTAATCTGGGACTCTGCCCTCAGTCAGCTCCCAGCGCCCCTGCCACGCAGCCTCGAGCCAGTCGTGATGGGAGCTGGAGGGGGTGGAGTTGAGGTGAGTCTGCGGCTCTCAAGACCTCGTCCTACTCTCTTCCCCACCGAATCCTCTCCTCGATTACTTCGGGCTCCTCCTCGGCTGACAACTGCTCACCTTCCACGGCCAAGCCAGTGCCACTGTCACATCCGGGCTACAACTTTTGGGCTCCCCACTGTGGGTCAGGTGCAGGCTGGACCAGCAGGTGCATTAACCCTCCAGTTCCAGGAGGTAGTTGTGTCACCCCAGGCGTACAAACAAGGAGCCTGCACTTAGAATGATGAATTCATTTGCCCAAGTTCGAGTGCAAGTAAGCAGCGGCCATCCTCCTACCCAGCACAGGCCACAGGCCACAGGCCACAGGCAGTGACGGCTCAGAGCCCACCTTGTCTGATCAGGCCTTCACAGGGGCCTCTGCCCTCGGCCGATGAGCCAGACTCTGAGTTTGTCCCAAGGCCTGAAAGACACAGACCTCTTAGCTAATGGAGTGCATCCCTCTCTCTTTTTTCAGGTGGAAATGGAGCCCCAGAGAGGGGCAGTGACTGCCCAGGGTCACGCAGCAGAGCAAAACTAAAACCAAGGCCACTGGCCTTCCATTCTGGATGCTTTCCACTGTGCCTGCTCTTCCATACCTGGGCCTCCCCATCTGACCAAAGGCCAAGGCCCACACCCACCAGTGCAAACTGAGAAATGGATGCAGTTCCCAGGGTGACACGGCCCACACTCACCCTGGCGAAGCCCTGGCCAGGGGCCTTCTCCCAGCATCCACTCAGCCCCTTCTCTGGTCACATCCACACCACACTCACTCACACACTCAGTCACACTCACACACCTCCAGCCATGGGAATGCCCGCCTCCCGCTGGCTGTCCTCTCCGCTGCCAGCTCCCTCTCATGCCAGCTG